AGAATTTTCTTGGAGGAATCAGGACAATTAATTTCTTAATTTCTCAAAGGAAGGTGGTAGAAACATGAAAGATCTGTCACAATCTGTACAGCAACTTGGCAGTTCTGGAGAAGGTTCTAAACTGAGAGGTTTTCAAGATTTCCCAAGAGTATGATCATGAAGTTTGCTATTGCAAAATAGAATTTATGTACCCATTTCACATACAGAGAGACAGAGTCAGGAGACCCTTGCTAAATAGTGTGTTGGCCTTATGTTTGATTAGACCAATTAGGGTTTGGCTCTAGCAAATATCTAAACCCTTTGCAGAGCCTCCGTAAATTTCATTACCTTTACCCTAGTGCCAAGTGATGTCATTTCTAATAATTCTAAAATGTCTCATTTAGAAGTAGTCTGTGCTTCATCTCTTTACTTTTTCCAGTGCTTGGCAATTCAGATACTGTTCTAAAAGTGTGAATTCCTGAAACATAAAATTATGTTAAGACTAATTGATTCACTTCCTTGTCATGCAGTGGGATTTCTGGGTCCATAAACTTCTGTCTGCACAACCAAAAATTAAGAATGTTGTCACGATGCAGTAATCCAAACCATTATTTTTCATATAACATTACCATCTCTATAATTACAGTCATATAAATGGATCTCCATATACATTTTTCTGCATCGCTCAGCAGTTTTGACTGTCTGCAGAAGTACTTGGAAAAGATTTAAGCTAAATGGCATTCAATGAAGTCTATAGTAGCATTTCTAAGATGTTACCCCTTCTGTGTGCTGACTGCTAACTTTTGGAAATTACTTAAGCCGGAACCTGATCCAAAACCTAGACATGGGGCAAATGACCAATCCAAATGCAGAATATTAAAGTTCACATTTAAATATATAAACTGTTCTGCATTGGTTCTGGGGAATGCAGTTTTCAAGAGCATTAGTGTCCCATTTAGGGTGCTCTCCTTGTTAGAAAGAAGCCTCCAGACTTGGCTTCTTGTCCCCAGTGCCTGGCTGGGCTGAAGCTGGCTGGGCAGGAGGTGCAGTGGAGCTGGCCCTGGGTTCTCCTTTCTCTGAGCATTGCATTTTTTCCTATATGGGTTTTTTTTGCCTCCAAGATGGAAGGAAGGAGACTGGAGGAGGGTCAGATTTGCTTGTATCCTGCCTTTCTAGTTCCCTCTCCATTTTGCCCGCTGGAACCCTGTGCCAAGTTTTCTGACCTTGGAGGGCAAACTGGCAGGGGAGAGATCGGATCCTTGACTGCCACCCCCCCCCCCCCAAGTGTGGAGATTTGTCTTCAGCCTCCAAGGGAGAGACTTCCACTATTCTGTGGCCACTCTAACAGGTCTGTTTTCTCTGTTTGTTAACTGCATTTCTAATAGCTAAAGCTCTCTGAGTGGTTCACACAGTAAAGGTTAAGACATAACATACACAAATTCAGTAAAAAGTGATACTTACAATGAATTAAAATAGCCACAGAATAAAACTAAAATAAATCCAACAGGACAGCAAGGATTTAAAAGAAATTGGAATCACTAATGTATTTTAAATATGACTTTAAAACTGGAATGCCTGGAGAACAGGTAGGGCTTCACCCCACTTTACACCATAGGTTTCAGGTTAAGCAGTTGGGAAGGGCCACTACCAAAAAGGCCCTTTCCTGATAGCCACTCAACACACCTTTTTCAGGGAAGGTAACCAGTGAAGGGCCTCAAAGAGTGACTTTAGGGTCCAGGTAGGTGGTAGGAAATGCTCCTTCCGGTAATTAATTCCAAGCTATTTAGGGCTGTAAAGGTTAACACCACTACTTCAAATGGTACTAGAAATGCACTGAAAGCCAGTACATATGGCAAACATTGACACAATATTGTGTCGTCCAGACCCAAATTGAAAGGACTCCTTGGTCTATCACTATTGTTATACATTTTACAAAATCTAATTTGGAATCCAAAAGTATCATGCTAAGTGGAATGAAAAGATCACAATCTTGTACTTAACCCTATGCCTGTCGTTACTAGACCTCCATTTAAATATATATATTCGAATGGTAAAAATATAGCCCTGGTCTGTCAAAGTTGTACATTCACAACAAAGACAGGATTAATCCCTTGTAATTGGAGTTCAGTCCTTTTCCAGTCATCTTTTCCAGGGTGCCTTGTTTCCTTGAATCACATACGGACATGATTCATAGTTGGCAGCTCTTTTAAGTTCGATACCAAGATTTTAAAAAAAGCTCGTAACTGGGATTTCACTGAACTACTGACCAAGACTGAATGTAATAGGATATAGTGCATTGTACTGGATACTGGCACAGTAGTGCAAAGTATCCAGCACTTTCTTTAGTCTTACCAAAGGAAATGAGAGCCATTTTAAGAAGCTAAGGCAAGATTCAGAAAGCTAGTCTGAGAAAGACGAACTGGCTTGGGGAGCCTGGTCCTCCAGGTTGTGTGACTCCGACCTGGTTAGCCCCAGCTAGCTTCACCCATTATCAGGCCTGAAGGGAGTTCGAGTGCGAGAACATCTGGAGAGCCATTGGTTCCCTGAATGTAATTGGGAGCTAGTGGTGCTTCTTTGGAAGTGTGCCTCTAAGGGGACATCAGCAACAGCTTCCCTCTCCTTTCCTTCCCCTGCAGGATCACAGCACCGGCTACCTGTGCCAATGGCTCTTTGATGCCCTGTTGAAATTAAGCTCATTCATCTGAGTAGAAGAGCCGGCAGATGGCAAGCCGAACATTTTGCACACTCTTTAGCTCATGGCTATTTGCATAAGGTTGGAGTAGTGCAAGCCTGGCTAGAATTGTTTTTAATGCTTCAGGGCTGTATCTCAGTTCGTGGAAGACTTTGAAATGCAGTAAACCATCGCAGAGGGCTTCTCCCTGCATAAAGGAGGAGTGTGGGGGACACCGTGTGGCTGGACTGCCCAGATCACAGCTGCAGTGTGTGGGTAGCGAGACGGCTGCTGTGGTGGTTGATGCCACTGGATCCCTGGCTGGGCCAGGCATGTGGTGGACTCACCGTGGTCACAAACATGCGTGGAAGTGTGGCTGGGGCCAGGTCAAGCTACACTGTCGGGGAATCAAACCTGGCTGTGCAGAGTGATTGTGAGCAGCATCTGTTTGCACATTATCTAAAGCAAATCTTCAGCCTCAATTAGCAAAAGGGTCTGTGCCAAATATACTTGTTTAAAAAGCTTTTGCTACTGGTAGAAGACCTGTAGAAAGTTAAAACCAAATGCCATTTCTCTTCTGCATGAAGAGCAAGCTTGAAAGACTGACAGAATGAAACCTGGCTCCAGAGAGAGAGCATACCGAATATGCTCTGAAGGCAGATGGGAAGTTCTCGTTGCTGCCACCCTGTCCTTAATGCTAGAAAAGCCATCAAAGCTCAAGCATGGCTGAATATGAGTAACTTGCAGAGCTCCATCGAAGCTCAAGCACGGCTGAATAAGAGTAACTTACAAGAGCTGTAAATGTGCCAAGATAGGCCCACCCCTGGTATTGGGGCTTGGATAGTGTAACTCTTTTTGAAGTTGCTTTAAACATGCACAGTAAGCTTCTGTTTACCCGTCTGTATTTCCAAACTTGAAGTTCTCAATTTTTGGAAAAATAGCTATACATTTAATATAATGAAATTTGGCTACCTGGGTCAGCTCGTCATACAAGAGCAGTCGTTTGGCCTGTATTGTGAAAGACCGTTCTCTTTTCTTCCATGAGGACGAAGGGGCTTTCCATTTAACAGACTGCTGGCTGGAGTAGGAGAATGAGATGCTGTGGGAGATGGGGGCCAGAGCCCACCCGGCTGAGTGGCCTTCTGAAGCAGCTTTGGCCACTGGAGAGGTCTTGGGTTGGGGCAGCTCTCTTCACAGGCTACTCCAACAAGCAGTGGGTTGATCAGGTATCTCTCCTGTACGGTGCAGTACGTAGGACTGAGGTAGCAGATGTTGCTGCTGAGATCTTTGGAGGAGGCCTATTTCCTGGTACCATTAGGGGAAGTGGACTACCCTTCTCCAAAGAGGTCTCCTCTGTGGAGGCATTCCCAATTTTAGAAGGCCCCTCCAAGGGAGTTAAGGGGTTCAATCCAGCACTGTCGTTCTGCCGATGGAACTGCCCTTGCTGGTACAAAGTGCCTTCTCTATTCTCTTCCCCCTGCAGCTCCCTTGCACCCTGCAGACTTGACCTGGAAGACTGCGACTGTGCAGGGCAGTAAAATAACGAGGCCCAGACTCTGACAGTGCAGGCAGGATGCTGTCTGACTGCCTGCCCCCAGGTTTCTTTGCTCCCTCCGACCTTGGCTGCAATTCTCGCATTAGCTGGAGTTGCAGAAGAGAGTATTTTTTCCAGCAATCATTGATCATTTCCTATTGTGCTCCATGGTATTTCGGGGTGCCTTGATCTCCAAAGGGCAATTAAAACCAAATAGCTTTGCAAAAGTCCTGCTCCCGGTGGAGATGAAAACTGTTAGAAACTGATTGTTCATATGGCTTAATGTCACTGCCTGAGGTTTAGGGCTTTCTCTGGGCTGTCTGGCTATGAGACTGTCAAAAATGAACACCCGCACTTCAACATTTGCCAGTATGCCACTGGCGCAAGTGTGTATGGACCGTACCTGTTCTGTGGATGGAGTGATTTTGGCTCCAACCCAAGATCTGTATTGTTTTCGATGCCAACTTCAAACACCTCTGCTTGCCCAGAAGAACTTTGAAACTGGAAATATAGTTCAAGTTCAAATTTTAATTTAATTTTTGACTGATTTTATTTATTTTATGTGTTTTCTGGCCTCCATTTAACTTTTACTGCTGTATGCTGTATTTATAATACTGTGAACACTACTCAGGTTCACTCTCCTTTGTTGATGGAAGATGCAGAATATAAGTTTTCAAAATAAATAAATATTAGCCAAAGTTTTAAAAGTTTCAAGCAAAAATGAACATCCACTGTTACATGCAGTTTTTCCAATCAACCAAACTAATGATTTAAAATATTGTGCATTTACTAATGATATGTTAAATTTTTTCTCAGGAGTGCATTATTGATGAAGATTGTGAGACTGGAAAATACTGTGAATTCTCTGGTTTGGAGTACAAGTGTCATATTTGCAAACCTCCACACAAAGTAAGCACTGTAATTTTTCCCTCGTGATCTTTGTCAAGGTAGGCTGAAGTATTTGATTGACTGACCCCATGAAGGTAATCTGTGGTGTGGTCGCTGCATGATGCCAATGCCATATTAGCAATATCCCCTCTCTGGTACCATTCAATCACTTTTATGTACAAGAAGCCCAGGATGAAACTGGGAAAGCATTGATAAAATGTCCATAATATTTTCCCTTTTCGGAGTAGCTGAGACTCAAGGAAGAGTTGAAAAGGTGGATGGCACTGAGAGCTGCCAGTTCGATACTTGAGACGGAGAGAATTGTCTTGCTCAGTGGAGGATGTAGCCTCCGCTCCCTTTTGGTGCAGCTACTTTTGCCGCTCTCCCTCACCCCATTTTTGGTGCTTTTGAACTGACAACTCTCCCGCTGGCCCCTGGCAACTGGCCCTGTTGCCTCGTCAGGGTCTATTTCTGTCACCTACTCCACTTCATCTCTTCTTTTCACAGCTGAAATATACAAAGAAGTTGAGCAGGCACATATTGGGCAGCCATTAGGTTGCACTTATGAAAGACTAACCAAACTAATGGTTTAAAAAAATCATGGAAATGTTTTCTGGAGCCGAAAGAGGACCACTGAGCCAATTACACATTTTTGAGGCTCCAGGAGATTGAGAGAGAGAGAGAGAGCAGCAAACTAGAAGTGGTAGCAGTTGGGGCAAGGCTGAGCCAAGATGGTTCTGCCTCAAATGGCCCTGGAGAAAAGCTAGAGGACCAAGAGGGAAAGAAGAGTGGAGGAACAAGCTTTGAGCTTGAGCAGGTGTGGGGTGTCCCTTGTGTTTTGCTCCACAGACAGTCGACACTGTGTAGCTTAGAGTGTTATGCAGACCTGCCCAATATATTCGAACATTTCTATGATACCATAAAACATAATAAGGGCAAAATCTCCCACAGAACTGTTCCACCACTTTCCCCTTGCCTAGACACAGAACTGTCTTTGTCATGTGCCTGACAATGTTGTTGAAATCCATGTTTTCCATGAAGATGTTGGCAGAACTGCCTAGTCTCCATGCCCAGTTATAGCTACACCTAAGTCAGTATCAGAGTGAATGCTGCGCTTTCCTGGCTCATCTCACCCCACTTCCTTTGCCCTTGCCTGCCTTTGTTGGTCCCTTTAGGTCAGTTTTCGAGGTTGCAAGCTGCTCAGGCAGAGGCCTCCCCTGTCACTCCTTATGAAGTGCTGTGGTGGTGAGAAAGGGAGAAAGCAGCATTTGATTGCTAAAATAAAGTCATGGGGCATCTTAAAGACGAACACATGAATTCTGACATAAGGTTGCATGGGCTTTTGTCAAGTAAAAGCGTGAATCTTTAAGGGGCCACAAACCAGTCTGTTGTTTTTGCTGCAAGAAAGTTGCTGCTGGGATTTTGCTCCTCGAAATCACTGCAGTTTATGTACTACAGCAAAGAACAGTCTGACTTTTATCTTTCCTATCATAATCTAGGATGACATCATAGCTAGTTTTGCCTTGCTGTTTTATCTGCTTTGCCCACTCTGGTCAAGCATGCCATATCTCCAGAATTTGTGTGGGTGTGTTTGGCAGACAGAACTGCTGCATAATTACTGTTGAGGTTGCGGTGAGGCACGTGCTTCATGGCCGAAGTCAACACGAGAGCAGAATGCGTGAAAGTTCAAGCTCTACATAACTTGGCTGTAAACTGGTTGTGTTGGGGGGGGGGGGGACTCTTGATGCCGAAGGGTTAACTGAGTGTGTGCTTCCATCACTGTTCCAAGCATTGCTCTCGAGATGTGGAGTGCTGTGGAGACCAGCTCTGTGTCTGGGGAGAATGTGCCAAGGCTGCCTCCAGAGGGGAGAATGGCACCATTTGCGAGAACCAGCAGGACTGCAACCCTGGCACGTGTTGCGCGTTTTCTAAAGGTCAGTCCTTCTAGCACACGTTCTGCTGCTCCTTGTGCTTTCCGCAGGAAGACGGGCCAACTAAGTAACCACATCCATGCATGAGTCGGTTTTGCTGTTCTGTTGCTGTAGAAGGCTTGTACTGGAGCACATAAAATGTGATTTTTACCATTGGCTGAGGTGTAAGTGGAAAAGCAGCTGGTTGGACAACTGAGCATCATATCCCGGCACAGCATATTTCACATCTAGGTGGCACCTGCGAGTACCTGCAAAGGGACAGCAGGTTCCTCAGGCAGAAATTCTTCTCTGCATGGAAGATTGTCATGCTAAGAGGATGTGCTCTTTCAGACTCTGTTTCAGGGTTTCAGTAGGCAGTGTGGCTGGCAATATCAGTTGGCAACGCTACAGAGGAGTAGTTTTGGCTTTGAGAAGTTTCCCCAGGCTTAGCTATAAAACATAGCATCATCCTGTAGGTTTCCACTCAAACCTGTCGGTTTCCTATTCTGTGCCCAGTCATGTTGCTGTTGGCTCTCCAGACAACAGCTTGGTGTGCAAGACTTTAATAGTTCTGTGAAGCATCTTTCTCATGGTCACAAAATGGGAAACAAGCATTGTCAGTGGAAAGAGGTTTCCCATACAACTTATCATCTTATGAGTTGGTAGAAGGTATTCCCACTAGTCCTCAGTCTCTAAACATTTGTAAAATAAGAATAACAATGATCAAAAACCGGTTTTGAGAAGATAACCAAGACAAAGACTCTAACATAACAAACAAAAGTGGATGAGATTGATTATATTATTATTAGTTATTGATCAGGTTTTGTACACTGTAACAAAATGAATGGAGTCGCGGACACCTTGGTGTTCCTTGTTGGCTGGGTGTATTTCCCTTGATTCCTGTACTTTGAGCAGGACAGGCTGTTGGACAGCTTTCCCCAGCCTGGTGTGAGGGAAAGGGGTAGTTGTAGTTCAGCATACCTGGAGGACGCACCAAGTCAGAGATGTCTGCCTAAGCTGTACTGAGGGTATCGTGAGTGTGGTTGCTGCAGGATGGAGACATGCTGCCCTCCGGATGGGATTTGGGTACCTCCTTCCTTGGTGGCTTCTTGAGGGACTGGCCATGTGAAAGGCTCATTGTTAGCAGGAAAAGGCAAGCTGATGCAAGGAGATGCTTACGTAACTCAATATATTTGTGTCATGTTGCTAGGGATTATTTTGGACTAACTCACCACTAGTGACAGATCCAGCTTTACTCATACTTGGACTATATGCCCTGAAATCCATGGGGCTTAGGTTGCTCATGACTATCTTAATCACTGGATTTCACTGGATTTTAGAATGTCTTCTCTAAATATGGCTAAATCTGGATCCAGTAGTAGGAATCTAACTGAGTTCTCCAACTCTTGCCTGCAGACCTTCTTTTCCCTGTGTGCACACCGTTACCCAGAGAGCAAGAACCTTGCCATGACCCTTCAAATAGGTTTCTCAACTTCATTACATGGGAACTGGAGCCAGATGGAGCCCTTGATCGTTGCCCTTGTGCACATGGATTAATTTGTCAGAGGCAGAGGTAAGACAGCTTCAGTGTTAGAAGACTCCACTGTTGACTTCCCAAAGTTTGTCTGGTGAGCAAAACGTGTGTGTAAACAAGACCCGAACTAGTCTTGAACTTAATCATGTAAATGTTATTCACTGTTATATAAATAGTAGCCAAGGAGAAACCTGAGCAGCTTAGGGCAGCCTTATCCAATTTGGTGTCTCCCAAAACATCTTGCAGGACAACTCTTAATAGTCTTGACTACTGACCAAGCTGGTGGGGACTGATGGCAGTTGATATCCAAAGACAATGGGGGAAAACACCAGGTTGAAGGCCGCCCTGGCATCTATTGGTGTTGGGGAGGGAGCAGGTTCAGTGAGGAACTTTAATTCTTTTCCCACTAACAAAATTATTTTCCTCAAAGCTGTTTGCTTTGGCACCAGTGCAGGTTTCCCTAGAAGTACAAATAGCTGCTTTGGATTAACAGATAAACAGGACTATCCCTCTGAATTTTGGATTTGTATATGTTTACCTTACTAAAGACCAGGCTCAAATTGTACTTACTGTGCTTACTGCTTAAATCTTTTTGCAGTCAATGCCACAGGTTAGTCATGACTAAAGCTTTTCCAAGGTTGAACTTCAAAACAAAATTTGAGGAGTTGAGCTGTGGTCATTTGTTTGACCACATATACTATCCCGAAGTAGTCACATGTGCTCATATTCTCATTCATAGGCACACTTGCATATTTCTGCAAAAATTATCTAATGAAACTGTGTGTTTTATCTAATAAAAATTGGAATGTGTGTTTCTTCCCCTCAGCCATAGCAGTGATTCCCTCTGTGAGCCAACTTTTCACAAGAACCAAACTGGAGCTAAGGAGACTCCTCTGCTAGAGGATGGAATATCACTTCTGGATTTTGTAGCTCAAGATACTCCTGGTGATTATGAAGAGAGACTGATCAAAGAAGTACAGAAAGGTTTGGGAGAAGAAGTTGATGATTCAAAGGCACTGGATATGGCCAGTGAGCTGTTTTTTGGAGATGAAATCTAAATGAGTGAATCAGGTTTATTGGTCATACACAGGCTTAGCAACTGAGCTATTTGTTTGATAAAACACACGCACACTCCAAACCCTCCCTTTCTGCTGGATAGAAGTGCAATGATTGGGGACGTATTTGACATTGTTATCCTCTGCTTTGACACATAATCTTCTAAAGCTCAAACTAATTCTACATTAAGCATCCAACATGGGCAGTGATTCCTTTAAGCACACATTATTGAGTTTTAAACCAAACATATTTTTAACTTGTTAATCAATAAATTAATTAGTCTATTTAAGTCTATTAGTGGTGGTTTGAGCTCAGCATTTTCTGTATATATTGTTTGTTCTCTTAAAAAAAGAACTTTCAGAAGAACCTTCTTGAATTTTAGACTGGGTTTTTAATACATGTACTGTTCTTTTTTTAAAAAAAAATATAAATATCTCTGGAATTGCAATAATCAGCACTGCTTTTGTGAATTTTTAAACAGTAACTTCAGATAACATGTAAAGAATAAGAATTTGCATCCACCAATGGAGAATATCAATGCTAGTATGGCATTCAATAGGAGTAGGAACTCTTCTGATCTCTCCAAATCCTTCCTTGTGCAACTCCAGTGTTACGAGGAGAGTGGTGGCGATCCCAAGTTGCCCACTCGAAGAACAAGTGTTGGCACATCCCGATTTCTAACCGAGCACTTACAATTGTAATAAAGCGACTTTGTTACAATTAAGCATGTAGATCCTAGTGTCCTTAAAAAGGGTGTCACTGTTGTTATTGTTAACACTGCCACAAATATTGATGGCTTACAGAGGAACAAGAAAGATGTCTTTGCTTTTCAAAAACTGCGAACTGTGTTAAGTTGCCATAAGGGAAACTAAGTGTTTGCCTTTTGTGAGACATGTAAATGTCCAAAGTTACTTTCATTTTCATATTTCTCATCAGCTTGTCCTGAAAGTACTGTCCAGGTCGTCATGTGGCGGGGTGGTGATGGGGGGCAGTTGCAGCCTTCAGCAAGCAATTACCACACACAGCTGTAGAAAGGAGAGACTTCCTTCCTGCTGGGACAGCAACTGGCCCCTAACCCCCCTCCCCAATTTAGGCTTGGTCCAGAAAGAGAATTTGGCCTACAGCTCCCACCACCCCTCACCACTGCCTCTGCTGGCTGGGCTTAGTTGGACCGTCAAAAAATGCCTCCTTGTCTTGAAAGGGGTAGTAGGTTGCTCAATATTACTTGTATGTATTACAACACTTTTTCATGGACATTAAATAGCCATTTTCTCTCCCCAGACTCTGGATAAACACCTTAAACCTTCTAACTATCCGGGGTTTCAGTTACTGGCATTCATTACAACTATCTGGGGCTGACAAAAGCTGAAATCCATACTATGTGGAGGGCATTGAGTGGCAAAAGCTGGCACAGTGGTTGGGCAAGGCTTAAAAACTTGCAGCTTGTTCATTCAAACTCGTTCAGCTGAGTTTGACAAGGTACTTCTGTACCCTGCTTTGTTAGATTTCCAGGAACAGTTCTAAAATTTAATTTTGTGCCCAGTGGGGGTTGATAGTTTATGACTATAGTTTTCATACTGTGAAAGTCTGTTCATTGAAATCTATTTTCTAAATACTTTTTTACATGGCCTCAATGGGCTCATCCCTCTTCTATGCTGTCTGACATGGCAAGCCTCAGTGGGGAGGCGTTTCCCTTCACTTCTCTCAGCAGTTACTCAAGTAGAGCTGGTGCCTGTCATAAAATCTTTTGACATCATCAAAATGGCACTTCATTTTCATGGACAAGGTGCATAATAGGGAGATCCAGCAAGCAAAAGTAGCCAGAATTATGAAGGTTGCTCAAGCACCTGTCTCTAAATTGCGTAAAAGCTGACAAATAAATGATAGTCCAATAATGTTAGTTCAGTCACACTGAAATCCCTGGTAGGAAGTCTTAGGAACTGGAGATGCATTCACCTATTTAAGAATGTAGAGCCATTGGCACTGAGAATGAGATTTCTTCTTTATTTATTTATTAAAACATTTTTATGCCGCCCCGTTCGCCGAAGTCTGTTTCAGAGCCTGATATGCAAAACAGAGTTTCTAGTCCTGATGACATGAGAACCTGGTTCTCAATTCTCAAAGCTCTTCCTGTCAAGAAAGAGTGTTGTGTTTAGAATCCAAGAGTATGATCTCCAGGGAAGACCTTCCATGTATTCCTGGATATTTCCTCCTTTAAATAAGGAAATAGTGTTGCCATTTTCTTTTAGTGCCGTTCCTAAGTCTTCCCACCTGAAGTAATGGCACACTATTCATGAAAAATAGTTGTTGTTTTTTAATATAGGGAATTTGAGACTCTCCTTTACAATTATCAACACAGAGGTACAAGGCTGCATTTATAGTATATCTCAAACCACTTAACTCCTGATACCAGGCCACCATAACTTTTTTCCTTATACAGGGTCCTAGTTTCTGCAGCTGAAAATGTTCTCCAAAGGCAACAACTTAGTAACCTACTGCTCTAAGCATCGTATTTAGTAAGTTCTGACTGTACAAGATGCATTTGGCTGACAAGTTATTTCATACACAAATTTGTTACAGCCTATTTGCCAAACTGCCCATTGCAGTACCTATGGAGAAAGAGGAGTTTGAACAAACCTGTTTTGTGGTATGAGCCCTGTCAGATGTCCTTACTTTCCTCCTTAATAAAATTTCCACTTTATTTCATATACGGATTAGACATGTTTTGATCCATACATTGGAGCTTTTCTGGGTGTAACATGAGTGCTAGCCCCTCTTTATGGCATCCACAATGGATCATCATCCACCTAGGAAGCCTTGAGACAAGTCTTTGCAGCAGTGAGCTTTCCCTTTCCCCAGAGCAAAGAGAAGCATTGACTTGTCAAGTCTTAAAATTTAGCAAGACCAATTTCAGTGTAATTCAGGTATTTACTTATTGGAGAGTGGGGTTTGAATAGTCCATTGCTTCAACTTTCAAATGATGCTGTGTAGGCAATTAAATCAAGAGCACTCCCTGGGAGACTATAATTGATAATTTTGCACAAGAGGGCTCAGATCTGTTAGGGCAATTTTCAGTGGCCTCCACTACATTCAAGTCTCCAGGTGTGCCAGAAATTTATTTCCTTCCATTTACTTCCCAGATATTTGTGTATATTGGTAAACTTTCTTTTGTACTGTCAGGAAATCACAGTAAATGCAACAGGAAGTGCTCCAAAAAAGAACCATGGAAAGGAAAGAGTATTTTTTTTTCTTTTGAGACTTGGATATGTGCTGAAAAAGTGAAGAAAATGGAGAACTCTCAGTACAGCACTTAACAGTTAAGAGGATTACATTATTAAGTAGGTGATCTTCCTTTGTGTGCATCATTCACTGCTGCTTTTCCTCCTTCACTATTATTTTTCAATTGACAGCCAGGGAATTGGTCCCTGGCGACTGCACACATTTTCAATTGTGCTTTACATTATCAATTGGTTTCCTACTGCAATTTACTGTTAACTTTGATAGCTGAAGCAGATAAATTAAGAAAAATAGACAACACATACTAGACAGCTGTAAATGTGCTGTTGCATACGAATTCATGACGATTTTAAAAAAATACAACCTCGATTCTATTTTGAGGCTCCAAAAGAAAGATGGTAGTGACCATAGCAGGGAGTGGGAGACAAGACTGCTTCTGCTGCAAAGAGCATTATAACACTAGCTGGAGGAAAGAATAAAGGGCAGAAACAAACAATGGTGAACTTGATTATGGGTTGTACACATTGTTGACTACACATTGCATAGCCTATTTGCAGGGTAGCTTAAGTGTGACAGCCAGTCTCCAACAGAAAAGACACAAGGAAACAGGTATAAACACGGAGAGCTAAATCTGGCTTCTCTCATGGCATATCATTGTGTACCTTGGCACCTTTGACACTGGAAATTGGAAAGATACTCAAAAGCCATGTTGGCTTGCACACAAGGAATAGCACCTGAGAGTCTTCTACAACTGGCTACAAGCCCTCAAGTCATCTTTTGACTGTATCACATTCGAAAACTAAATTCAAAAGCTAGAGTGGTGGCAGCAGGGAGAAACGTACCATCAAACCTCTCTTTTGAAAGTTATCTTTTCATGAAAGTATTAAAACAAGTCCAGCTCCATGGTTAATAACAACAGAAGGAACAAATGTTTTATTGGCATGTTCACTGTTGTAAACAGCATCTGGCATGAAAAAGTTTACCAAAAACTTTTATTGATAGAAATTAGATGGTATTTCCAAAAACAAAACTCCCTACAGAATTGTTTGCAATTGATCTTATAACATAGCAAAGCAAAATCTTAATTGACTAAGCTTTGCAATGAAATTATGTCTACTGCATCGGCCTGCACCACATTCTGAACTACTGATGGGTTTATAGTGGGAGGTGTTAAAAGATGTCCAATTGTTTTTAAACCCTACATATAAAAACTATGAATCAACTCCAGGGGAAAAAATAAAGAATGACTTGCAATGGTACTAGAAATTGCAAACTTTTAAGAGCTCCAAAACAAAAATGTACAAAAATAAGTAGCTGAACAACAAAACAAAAAACTCCCCAAAACTCGTTAACCAGGGAGAATCACAAATCTATGTACCCAGCACTGCCAAACATAAAATGAGTACAAATTTAAATAGGCAGCTATACTTTTAAATGTACACAGTGAATATTGATATGTGGAAACAAATACCATAGTAAGCAGCTGAAATGTAGTACTGCTAACTCAGAAGGGGAGAGTTGTATTTACACACTGAATGGAAGTGAAGTTGCCTGCATCCTATAACCTAAATAAAAATCAGTTACAACACTTCTGCAAAATGAAACACCACCTGCTGGTAATGGTAACTTCTGCTAAAAATACCTTTTGTTTCAGATGTCCGGCTTTGTGGTGGAGAAAACTAATGAGATCAGATAAAAATTTAACATTGAGGGCTGAGTTGTGCCAATTCTATCCCATTTTCAGTCCATTTCCACTCGGGTGCTTTTTAAAAAGCCACTGTCACATTTACTTCAGAAATCTTCAATGAGGTAATGTGTGTATCAGTGAACAAACAGAAAATAATTCATTCATGGCCTTTGCACAGCTTTTATTATCAAGCTATGAATATCCTGTTTGAGGCTAGTTTACTAGCTACTGCTATGTGCACATTGTCCTCAATTTTCTCTTTTTACCCGCCCCACCCCAGTTTTGTGTTTGTCTTTTTTTATTTGCACATCCCTTTTCTCTTTACAGTACATTTGACTATAGTGCACAACATGATTCCAAGTCAAATAGTTACCTGACTGGGCACTGAGCTTGACTGGGCTGCAGTTTTACCAATCAGTGCTGGTGACTTTCCTTCACACCTCATGTCCTGCCATAACAGCACTACACAGTGGTAGTGAAACTCTTTCACACTTAACAAAAACATCCCCAGAGAAAATGCTGAAATAAAT